CTCCGTGTGGTAATTTTTGTGGTGGCATCCTTACAAGGTGTCCAGACCTTTTGAGTTGTTGTTGGTCAGTGAACTGTCGGACTGGTTTTACTCGGTGTTTCTGATTTTGTCTCGTCTGGTCTTGCTGATAACTCGTATCAGGCACCTCATTTCACATGTGATGATTTTTCGTTCCAAGGACTCAGTCAGGCTCCAAGTCTGGCACTGATATGTAAGTGTTGGCAGAAACAATAAGTAGTGCCCCAACTTGTCGGGTTTATAAAAAAGTTTCAATTCACCAGGTGCAGTTTTGCGATGTGTGGTATCCGCAGAACTGATCTCTGTAGATAATCAGCTTGCTTATCTCCTCAATCCTGGATCCACGTGCTAAATCAATCGGCTCCTACCTGAGGAGGTCAATACGCCCTTCATGCTCTGACGTACGGATGACTTCGCTACGTGACATGACCCGATAATCTTGTCCTTTGGAAAACTTTGATATCACTTTTCAATAGCAGTTTTTTTTTCACAAGAAAACATAACTTTTTGCTATCAAGAAAGAGATTGAAAACTGATGTTAAAATGATATAAGGAAAACTTTGGAAACTGGTATCAACTTTGGCGAAAGTTAGTATCAGTTTTGAATAGCGGTATTGTCACAATGAAGCATTCTTTCCTATTTAGAGAGAAAATAGCAATTTCTGACGGGAGGCGGGTGACTACAAATTCCTCATAAAGGAACAAGGGTTTAAAATGCCTACAAATCATTCAAATTCACAGAATATTAAATTCTTTACATGTTATTTTTTTGTAGCGCCCATCTGCTGTTATCTATAATAGATTGTATTCTTCTTTGTCAGTGCTGAGGCTAAAATTAGCAATGTGCTACCACCGAGTTGGCCACCGCTGTGTCTTGTACTTCGTATGTTGTTCACTAAAAACATTTCCTACAAGAGTCCTACTGCAGGGGTTCCAGGGATTTGGTGCAACAAAGTAGCAGATAGTGGTTAAAATACGTGAAAGTAGGATATCTGTACCTCACATCAACAAGTGGCCGAATCCATCGACCCTTTTGTTAATTAAACTGTATTTTGCTTTCTCTCCTTTTTGGCCGTCTCTCAGTGGTGTTCCGCTCTCCAGGGTCAATATAAGCGGTAAACTAGATTAGAATTAGACTGAAAGGTCCGTCATTAAGCATTGGCAAGGCTGAGTAAGTCTGTAAGTATGTATGAAATAACACCGGTTGCCAGGATCAATGTCCTTGGCAGGAACTTGTCTTTTTTTGTCTACAAAAACGGCATTCTCTCAGTGAATGACAGTGAAAATGACAATAATAATAATGACCACGAACATTATTTGCACATCCATGTCCACTTGGGCTATATGCTGTACATGTAGTTTTACATGGGACAGCCGTAGAAACACTGCAACTCTAAAAAAGTGCTGCACTACATCTATTATTATATTGTTTACAAACAAACATATAAGGCTAGTATGCTATCATTGAGTCTGTTTTTAAAGCAGGTATATTCGAACTTACAGAGTGTAATATTCATACAGGAAAGAGGAGTACCAACAGGGAAGATTACATTGTAAAGCATACATGTATTACTTTCTGCTTTATATCAATGAGTTTATGAAATATTACAACATTAGCGCCTCTGATCCAAATTTGTCTTGTGTGTGTACACTGAACAAAATCCATTCTTTACGCATACCCTATAGCATGCGTAAAGGTTCAATTTCTTCATTTGTGCGTACCTTTACGCTTAAAGGTAGGATTTCGTGCAGTGGTACTTGCTGCCATTAGGCCACACCAAGTAAATTTTAAGGATGACGTCCGCGCACGCATTGATTTTGGCCTGTTCCTATGAAAAAAAAACCAAGAAATTCCGCTTCCTGTAACTATGACCAAAGAGTCACTACAGTGCCGCAAATCGTTAAATTGACGTGAAACCCGTAACGCGAAATGGGTAAAACATGCTTTCTTTCTGCAGGCCTGCAAAAATGTGATGAAAGAACCTGTTCCACCTGATTTATTGCTGTTTTGCAAAAGACTTCTTGCTTGTTAATCTGTGTCACCTCATTCAATTTGTGTCCTAACATTTGTCGTTTCTCAGTATATTTCTAATCTAGTCATCTTGTTTTTTAGGGCCCTTCTTGTCTTTTTTTTCGCCCTCTCGCATTAGATATGGGGTCTCCAAAGGACGTCATCCATAAAATTTACTTGGTGTGGCCTTAGCTTCAATTACTTTCGCTACCCAATGTATATACTTTTTTTAGTTTCGACCTTCTGCAAACTTATCAAAGATATATAGTGAACAGCCCGCAGGTCATGTTTCATATCTAAATCTAATACAATGCATGACGATTTTCCCTGCGGTTAATTGGTTGGATTAGTTGTTTCGTTTTTCCATTTTCATGGTGCCTTTGGACCAGATGGAGACCAATTTATCATCGTCCTCAAAAGCTGCCAGACAAAGTCATGACGCCTCCTGTGCGCGCTGATCCGTCGGACATCTAAATGAAAGATTTAGTTACTTTTACATTAAACGATACCGGAACGCACGAAGAACTAATTACTGGGAAAATTGACCAATAACACAGAACGGTTATTGTATCAATGTACCATGCGACCAGAAACACCATCTGCCTTTTTATGATATAAAATTGTAATATCGATAACGGGAGTATTTGCATTTCACTGGTTCTTATGTATTTAAAGAAATGTAATCATTGCTTCCCTCCCTAAGTTTTAGCATTGTCCGATACACATTTCTGTTGTAGTGAATCGGGAACTTAAAAAAAGTTGTCTCCTATCATCATCATCATCATCATCATCCACTGTACTCTGCGTCTACAGTCGTGTGGAAATGTCCTGTAGCTGCATTCAGTCTTTCTTTATCTCTTTCCACTGTGGCGTCTGGCTCGCGAGCTCTCTAAGCTCCTTGAGTTTCTTTTCTATTGTAGGAGGGCCCGTAGCAATAATTATATGCTAGAATCATAGGAAAGTTGGGATAAAGTGAATGCTAGAACCGGTTGAGTGTCCTTCATAGCATTTTGACTGGGCAACTCACCGCACAAAATCCTACCTTTATTCACACCTTAAAACATGCTTAAAGGTACGCGCAACGGAAGAAACGAAACCTTTACGTATGCTTTAGGGTATGCGTGCGTAAAAAGAATTAGATTTTGTACGGTGTAGCTATTCCCCTTCTTAACCACAAGTTTAGAGGTTGCAATCATGGCCTGGCAAGTTCTAGAACTTAAAAAGAGTAACTTTAAGAAGCCTCTTGCTTTGGCATTCAACTGGTAACAACATGTTCTCTATCTTAATGTCAGGAGGATAAAAACATTCGTTCAAGACAGACTCGCTCGACATAGACAACTTATCTGTATAGCAGTTAAAGCAATGGCAGAGAGTAAAGCCGAGAGATTGCGGACAAAGAACGCCGGCGGAGGAAAAGTACAACAGCCCCAAACAAATGGTCCTGAAGTGGGGCATAATTTACTGTTTATGGTAGCTGGCAGGAGATATACGACGGAATGCCTTCATCTGTGGTGCTCATCCACGCATCGCCTCTATTACTTGCTGCACCCGGATGATCTCCACCAAGATTGAGGCAGTGTTGTGCTTCCTAATACTCTCCACGCGAGAGTGAAAATGAATATTTGGCGTCGTAAAAACCGGGGGTAACCGATATTAACGACGGGCCTCTCCCCGTGCGATCGCCGCAGCTGGCGCGCCCTCCATCACTGAAACGACAGGTCGTTCTTTTATTTCACAAAGCGGGAAGAGGTCGGGAATCGCCGGCCACGTTGGTCCTTTATACTCTTAATGAGGCAACATGTAATCCTCGCCTGATGAACACTGGGGTCGGTGGGGACGTGCAAAGAACGACAAAAGAACTGCCGCGATCCCGACAGGTCCGATACATGTGATCAATGAGGGTTATCCTGCAGTTCTAAGCAATATCTCCGGTATATCTCCTCGTCTGATAGATTCAAAGGATCCAATCATTTTCCAGGGAAAGTTTCCTCGCGATTTCTCAGTGTAGAGAGGTCGAAAGTATTAGTGTTCCAGGAACGCAATAAGTCCAAGTTCATGACTTCATAAGTCCAAGTTTACCAAATGAGCTGTACCCAGACGGCTGCGTTAATGTCGTTGAAGAAGGGCATTTGTATTGTTTAACTTTACATAGTACCCATTTAGATAAACAATGAGATGCCTTACGTGCTATCATATTAGTTTTGATAAAGTTTGTTTGCGAGATTGTCCTTTTCCAATAAAACTTTTATTCAAAGTTATTTTCATTCAAATTCAGTACGTATTTAATTGTCATTGTAACCAAGGACATATCTAGAGTTGCTTTAGCCTGCTGAGGGCAGATGCGGTAGGCAAAATAACTGGGAGTGTGTACTTAATGCTGGTTAATTGACTTGTGTAGACACAGCACTTTCGATCTAATTTACATAAATTCATTATGCCATGTAGAAAAGCCCTCTGGGAATGCTGTAAACGAAGGATTAAATGGATGGCTGCTAATATGTTGTACGAATGTAGATCAAATTTTCCACCAACTGAAAATGTGCTTGTGGATTTTAGAGATTATTACTTGATCCGTTGATCGTTGATAACCTTTATCGTGCCACAAGACTTATTTCCCTCTTTAGTCAACTTCAATCACTTGAATTATTTTTTCCTCTGTGAACTCTACACAATGTTTAACAACATTTGGTCCCCTTTAGTTCTATCATTGATACAAATGGTATTCACATTATTTGTAGCTCTTTACGACTGAAGTACGTCTCTTGTCTTCATGTTACCTTAAACTTTTAATGAATTCATTAACTTTAATGATTCCATTATCCAGGCAACGATTTCCTGTCAATTTTACTGTGATTGTTGTAACATCGCTGTGATTTGGTAGCTGTCAATGTTACGACCAGCACTCAACCATTTCATTGACCATGTTGTTGTCAGCTTTTAATGTCTTGTTGTCGTTAACGTTACAGTGATGGGGAATGGAGTAAACATGCCCACCCCAACCAAGGTTGAGGGAATAGATGGAGAGACGGTCATCCTGCCTTCTCGTTTCAAGAGCAATGTCACCAAGCTCATCGCCCTGACGTGGACTAAAGCGGCGGGGCACCTTGGTCGCTCCCGCGAGCCGGTGTTCATGTACGCCCCGCCGTCTGCCAACCTTTCCCTGGGACGGTTAAAGGGCCGAGCAGAGCTCACGGACAACGGGTCGCTCCAGATCAACCCTGTCAGCCTGGATGACGAAGGCATTTACATTCTGACCACACTGCTAGATGGGGTGGGGCAGGAGGAAACGTACGTTGAATTGGAGATCCACGGTAAGCCCTTGTATTAAATGTTACAGTAGCACTGCACGAAATCATACCTTTCAGCACACGTTAAAGCATGCTTAAAGGTACGCACAAAGGAAGAAACGGAACTTTACGCATGCTTTAGGGGTATGCGTAAAGAATACCCCTGCGTAAAGAATAGATCTTGTGCATGCCATGCCATTCTGAAGAAACATTTCGTTAACAGGAAACACGGTCTTCTTTTTCAATATCCCTCTTATTTGTATATACACGTAACCACTTGTACGAAGCAAACCAGTGGAACCCTTAAACCCTAGGCTAGCAATATAACGCCATAATCTCAACCAGGATGTGTTTATCTGCCATTCCTCTACAACTTCTGAACGCACCAAACATATGGCTAGGAGCCGGTTGTTTAAAAATCTCTCAAAGGTACACTCACAGGCTGCCGTGTTCTGGAAAGATCTCGTAAAGCGTAGTAAAGACAACGTCGCCTTCTCCATATCCTACCTAAGACGTTAATGCAGCTAAGGGAGGCCTCGAGTTGACGTATGTGCCTTGGGTTGGAATTTTATATAACAAAAGTGTTGCCTCAAGCGTTGGTCTGCTCGGAAAGCCTGGTGTTTGTACATAACAAGATTACTTTCCGTTGGCGCCTGGCGTATCGTGGTTACACAAACTAGTATTGGTCCCCCTCCGTGGCGCCTGTACCAAATCCGTGTATCTAATCCCACAGCAAAGTGTAATGTCATTGGCGTGTGTGTTCTTTGGAGCGACACGAGAGTGAGACACAGTCAGCACGCACAAGAACTGATAAGGGGACAAGGAATAACAGATGTATATCCGGATTACAATGAAACAAAGCCAGAACACGCGCTCGTTGTAGAAATCTTGTTGTGTGGTGAGACTGAGGGGCAGCATAGTAAATGTTATATTCCTATAAAATATTCTTACAGTCTTCAAAGGCATTTAGAACAGAGATCGCAAGGGTAGATATATATTATACAAACTCTGTCCACGCACGAAACTAAGAGTCTAGATAACGTATACTCCAGGAAACATGCAATACGTCAATGCGTCTCTAAAACACAGGCATGCATAGAAAGTAGTTAAGTAGTGAAAAAACATCATTCATTTACAGTACAAATGACTCTTGTCATTACGAAGTTCATGAAGTTTATCCAAAAGACTATGAATTTGGATTTTCTACTGCAGTCATGTACAGTAAGAATTTTGGCGCTTTTTCTTGAGGCAAATTTATGAAACAACAAACTTAGGATGTAAAATAATAATTACAACATGAGACAAAAATCTAAAATGAGGAACGTCCGACATACAGGAATAGAATTGGACAGTTAAGATCTGTTTACAGTAGTTTATCAGTAGTGAGATCGTTAGTACAGTTAAGTGTGATAACTGTGTGATGCCGAGAATTTGAGTGATTGATGCATTTCTTTCACGCAGTTCATTTACGCCTGTTCTTCTCCTTAGTCCCCCCGAAGGTGACACTCAGTCAACCCAGTCGTCTGAAACTCCTGTGGAATTCCAACCTCACTCTGAACTGTTCCATCGAGAAAGCCAAGCCTGAGGTAGCCGCCATCCAATGGGCGCACGACGGAGTGGATATCAACTCGTCGGCTACCTACACGCGGAAGGACTCCATAACCGGGGCGCTGCTGCTCTTTAACGGGCTGAGAAAGGAGGATTCTGGGACATACACCTGTCGGGCAGATCACGTGGTCCAGCAGGCCTCGGACAGTGTGGAGCTGGAAGTGTTGTGTAAGCGGCTTCTTTGTCTCGGATCTTCATAGGTATATTTAAGAGGAGAAAATCCATACAGGTTGCAAATAGGGAAATAAATTGTTGTACTTAAAGACTGCATGTTACAGTATCTTCGTATACTTTTAGAAACGTTTTTGTCGAAGAAAAGCCATGGATTTGAACCCCTTTGAATCACTCTTCATTGTCAGATGAAGAAAGAAAGTAGACTTCGAAAACGTCGACAACCAGGTAATAAGATACCCCAAAAATCAGTTACTCAAGCAACTGGTTATGGTTGTGGAATCGGTCAGACGTTTCAGGTAGCATCTACTGTCAGTGATCCTGGTGAGATCTCACGATCATCAGGTTTATAACCACAAACTATTATTCATTATATATAGATTAACTGATATGCATTTGAAAATTTGGGACAACTTTTAAGATTTTAACCTGTTATTCCGTCCAACCCAGACCCTGCCCAGATTGTGAACATCTCCGGAGACCAGATCGTCCATGTGAGTGAGACGGCCACCCTGTGGTGCATGGCGGAGGGCAACCCCGACCCCAACATCACCTGGTTCCGTATGGGCGACGACCAATCCTCGGCCATGGCCCTGTCTGAGGCCCGAGGGAACGGCGTGAACCTCGTCCTGCGGAACCCTCAGCAGAACGACAGCGGAGAGTACGCCTGTATGGCCGGGAACGGCGTGGGGCCAGACGACTCCAAGTTCGTCAAGTTCACAGTCAGAGAGCCACAGAGGATACAAGGTAACGTCCGTAAGTGTATGAACTCGGTTTATTAGTAAAGCTCATGTCACACATAGCCGCATATGGTCTCCCGAACACAGGCCGAACTTCACTCAAGTCTGGTTAGAGTCTGAGTACATGTAGGTCGGGAGCAAGATCGGCTGTGGTTGTGTGACGTTGGTTACTATTCTGCTGGACCTGCCAACTGTTTACAAATGTTTCAAATATTTGGGCGTGGACGAGAAGGTTGCCCATGATTGGCTAGAGGTTGGCTGGTGTCCGGGAATAGGTCAGCAGTGTTCGTGGCGTGTTTGGTGGTCACATCTAATTCAAATTTAACTGATTCAAATCGTATATTAGAAAGTTAGCCTTGGCCTCAATCTGGTCAGACTGCTCCCGAACTTCAGACGACGTTTGTTGGTTGGTTGGTTGGTGGTCGGGGGAGGGTTCTGAATGTGTGACAGGGGTTTAAAGGTTCGAGACTGTCGATGGAGGACACATCAGAAATTAAGTCACAGATTTGCATGAATCAATTGTCAGCTTTACTGAGACTTACTTAGATAATACTTATGCCGTAGCCATGTTCAGAATCCAATAAAGTGGTGTATAGGATAGGACGCGAAGACCACCAAGGCCCATTTTAGGTCGTTTGTGGTAACCTGCCGTCGCAGACCAAACAGAAATAACTGCCTTTGCTCACATAGAAAAGTCACAAGGCCTTTACAATGAATGATTCTGGAAATCGTTATATGGACTGTGAATCATACATAGCCCATTACGTGGGTTGTTTCAGATAACAAAAATATAAAATCTATATAGTATAAGTCATTAAATGTGACTTTCTCACCAGACAACACTATGCATATATTGAAGTGCACACCGTTCTTTTACCTACAAGAATGCTGGATAAAACAGTGATTGAGGTAGTTTAAAATAGTCCACATCACATTTGAGAGGAAATAGTCGATGGGACGTAATTTCCCCATTATAGCCCGTGATATGTCCTTACAGATAAGGCCGAGCGGCGCACGGGCTCTGCCTAAACGGGGGCCAGCAGGGTCAAGACTGCGGTTTTTGATGTTGAACACAAGAAGCAATAGCTATAGAGCCAATTTGCCGCTTGGCGGACCAAGATAAGGTCCAAGACTGCGGTCTATACATCAGAACCTGCCCCGGAGGGAAGAGAAACTACTCAGCATTGGCCTTGTCCGGGAGATTTGTACCTTCGGGGGGGAGATTAAACCGTTTGCCTGCAACATTTTCATCGGAAATCGTTTGTGTGTTAGAGGTAATCCTCAGCGAAAATAATAGCTCTATACCTTACCTATCGCAGCCTCCAGAAATCACCTGTCTCCAACATCCGCCCCCCTCCCCCAAAAGAAGCCTGCACACTAAATCATTCAAATCAAACGTCAACGTGACAAATGACTGCTGGTAAAAGTTTCCTACTCCTCTTATGTTGAGTTAATGGGAAATAATTCAATCTTACAGCTGACACTTTATTTAATGCCTATTTGTAAACCAGCATCGAATAAAAATTGTTACCGTCTTAGGTCCAACACAAGAGCATTTATGGTGTCAAAAGTCTTGTTTACATGCCCACCAACGGGATAACGACGGCAGGGAACTCTCCATGGGGAGCGGGGGTGGTAATGAGGAAGAGGTATAAAATTTTATGGTTTCGAAACTAGCGGTCCATAATGTTTTTATTGATCCTAAGACATGTTTGACTATAAATGTTTACATGCGAGGCTTCGCTTAGGGTTGGGTGTGGTAGATTTTATGGCCCCCAAAATCAGAATTCAACACACATAGACTGTACTTTTCCGCAACAAAAACAAGGGTTAACTCTCGTTGGACTTCAACACATTTTGTATAAAGGCTTTTCACGTCCGCCATGTTGGATTACAGGGTACGTCTGTTAACAACGGCCGCCATGTTGGATTACAGTGTACGTCTGTTAAACATTCCAACATGATGCTACTTAATCAGTTTAACCGTCAACATCTGGTCACTGAGATTCCTATGATAATTATTATGACGTCAGTGAAAAGTCTCAATACTGTGGAGATAAATCTGTACTTACCTGGGAAAAAAGCATACAGAATATCGGCTCTAAAGTTCATAAACTATGATAATAAACGTAAGGCGCAGTACTACTTTTTAGACTTCTTTCTTGCTTTATATTGTCTACGACGTGGAAAATACAAAGTGTACTATCACTATTTTTTATATTTGTCTCTTTACAATAATGAACTGATATTTCTATTTTTGCTATAAATTTAGCTATAACTCGAGCCGAGTTTTGTGTCCTGCTTTGCTCTGCTAGTTTCCAACACAACATAAGAGTGTGTTTTTTCACCGTTATGTCGTATTTCTGCACCCGGGCATTTCTGTTGTGCCAGTTGATCCTCTGTTCTTTGATGTTCATCAGTGCGGATGCGGGCCTTTTTTCAAATGCCTAGCAAGCTTTTATCTTCCGTCGCTTCTCTTGCCCTGCTCGACGCTTTTGATGTAAAAAGTTGCTGTCGGCCGTTTGAAATTCAAATCACAACCGTCCATTTGTCTGGCGTAACGGACGTGCTACATCCCTCAGCTTACGCCGAGGTGCCGCGCACTTCAGAACGGTCCTTGGAGAGAGAAAAACATGTGGAAACATATTCATTATTCTCTCAACGCATTGCCGGAGAAAACTCTGGTGGCAGCAGTACTTTTGAAAATAAATTACAACACAAAACCTTACGGAATAAACGCTTTTGAAGTCATATCGTACATATTGTAGGGTTGATTTTAATGTATGAATTTATTATAATACAATCGCATAACATGAAATGTAGAAAAATTTGAAAAATGAATTTATGTAAAAACATGAAAACAATATTCCACTTTGGAATGAATTTATTATCAACCAATTACATGAGGTAAAATGAAAAAAGATTTGAGCAATGAATTGATATAAATTCATCAAAATAATATTTCGTAAATATCACTGCTAGATCAAACATGGCAAAGGCTGCAATGAACTTAAAAGCATAAACCCCAGTGACCAAGCATAAGTACGGCACAATGCAGCCGTGTACCCTCGTATTAGTTCGTCTGGCCTTGTACATGTACGTAGCCAAAGACTCCGGCTCCCTTCGCCGTTAGCGCTACAGCATGATGAATGGATGTCAGAAAGTCCGCCCACCTGGTACATTATCAAGGTCCGGACACCTTAGTGTTCTGGCCGTGGTTGCCCCCAGCAACTCTTAAAAGAACCAGCTTATCTCGTAGAGACTACAGATAACTGCGGCTTACTTTACTACTTTTCTTGAGAAGGACCCACGGGAAGAGCCCGATCGTATCGTATTCTTGGACGTAATAGCCATTTTTGGAGGGGTACGTACGCTTGTGTGTTAGTGGGTAGAAGAATAGAGAAATAAAGGTATAAGGGCATGTTGATGTTATGATATGAGCATGAATTTTCCAAAACATTTTCGACCATGCTGTAAATCGTACAAAGCAGTTGTAAAATGAGCACATATTGCCGTTAATTGAAAAAAAAAACACATTAGCAAACGATACTAATTAAATGTCGCCAAAATTAAATACAAAAGACAAGAAGAAAATGCAAAGGAATGAAAATGAAGAATCTATTTTTCACCACACCATACTCGGTGTGTTTAGTCATTTGTTCAATATTCATGACCACGTAGATTTCAAAATGAAGACAACTTTTTTGGGCCAACTTTTTTATTGGCACGCTCACATCAGTTCTGGGGTTTCCAGAGGATGTTATCTATCTATTCAAATCAACATTGGCCTGAAAATTGAAAAAAAAAGAAAATACCTTAAAGTGACATTTCTTCCACATCAGAGCAAATGGGTCTTTCTTAAACTTAGACTGATATGGGGCTCCCGTGTCATCCGACATACCAGGCAATCCGAGTGATCTTTCTAGCTGACATAAAAATCAGTTTCATCTAGTACTGCCCATTTCTGCCCATATAGAAACGTAGGTAATTGGATGGACGGAAGGTTTGATCTGATGAGGTGGTTGTTGATGAGTGGAGACTGGGCGGTTCGGCGTCACCGTTCCGTGGTATGATCACAATTAGTCTGCAATCTTTCATATCTGCACAAAAACACAGTCCAATTTTCTTGCGGTCAAATCTCCTTGAACCTCGGTTGTTCTGATTGTTTACTTCATGGTGCGATGGTTTGCTGTAATTGTGTTAGGTTAGGTAGACACCACCACATATAGAAAATTAAAGAAGAACGTTAAAATGTTTCCACGATCGCGTATCTACCACTTCGTGACTACAAATAGTCCTCATATTGTTGTTATTACAGAAGAAGCCTTGCGCATTATTACAAGTTTTTCCCGGCTATCGATTGTATTGTGACTTACACCGCGTGGGTGACTTTATACGTGCACGGGTATATTCATAAGGCCATAGATGGATGAAGGAAGGGAATGATACATGAAAATGGATGAAGAGTCTGTAGATTAACGGCATCTTGCATCCTATGTGTATTCCAGACATACTTACTTCGTGATTCTATCTTTCTTTCTCATTGTCCTGCGAAGCGGACCGCAAAGATACATAGTTGAGATGATGGGGTAGGGGGCCGATGGAGCAAAGGAAAAGTATTAAGATAAGAAAATGGCCTAAGCTTACCGTGAAATATTCTGCAATATTACATGGTGGCGTCACGTCTTTTGACTTTGATGTTAGATGAACAGAGGTTGTAATAAACTTGACTGCGACGTCTCTCGTGCAATAACCTGGGTCTAACTCACTCTACACACTGGCTGACCACTATGTGACAGCTATTTCATTTGCTGGAATCGATTTTGGAACAACAACAGACACAATGTATGACTTCATAAGTTTCCTGGAATACTGCACGCCCTGCAATTTCTGCATTTTACCCCATCATAGCACAAACAGAATGTTTTAGTCCAAAAAGTGCATCTAAGATAAATTACAAGGAGGGAGAACATTTATGTTTTCTTATTGATCCAGTCTTGTATCGAGTCGAGTTGCACTTAAGGAGAGCGTAAAACATGGTGCAGTAGAACATAGTAAATCCTCTCCTTGGTGCCGGGAGAGTACACGGTCTTCAATTACTCCCTTTTGTACCTGACATGCGTTTTTCCTTCCGATCCTACATAAATCCAATAGCCGAAACGCACCGTCCAAATGTGAACAAAGCCCACGGCTCAACGCACACTCTCAAGCACCGTTACCAGGCGTGTCCATAGCTACAGACCACTAGTTTCCAGACAAGTGTATTGGTCTGGCAATACGTCTTGCTACTTAACGTCTGCGGTCCGTCTTTTATTCTCCACCACCGTTTCGTCCTGCCTTATTTAATGCCAAAATTTTACATATACGTGTAGTACAGAGAAACCAAAATTATACATATATATGTGTGTGTGTGTGTGTGTGTGTGTGTGTAGTACAGAGAAAAACGACATGCCCCAGAGTTGACCCCGAGACAAACACCCGCAATATGTGGTGAATAATTTAGTACCTGGTGATTTTTTTTCTCTGTCAGATAATTCCAAACATAATTCATATCTTCACACGATCGGCGTCAGGCAGTCGAGTATCAAATGTCGCACCAAACAGAACGCTTGCTTTTTTCATGCACAGTAGGTGCCCAAAGAAAACTCTTGAAATTCATCTTGAAATTCATTCACTCTTGAAGGTCACCAGTTTTGTATGAAAGTAAGTCCTTATGATTTTCAATATAAAAGAAATGACGGTGGTTTTCGAAACTCCAAAGATGTTACATCAGATGTATGATACATAAAAAAATTTCAGCGATTTTTCCAAAAGAAAGATACTAAGGTATTTTCACTGGGTCAGTCTATTGACCAATTGGCATGGTGATGCAACTTAACCATTTTGTATCTGTTTTTGTATTTTTGATAGATCCACCGTTTGAGATCCCGCAACACTTCCTGATGATCGCGGCGGGTGCCGGCGGAGGCGTGCTGTTCGTGTTCCTGGTGTTCGTGGCCGCGCTGGCCTGCAGGGGGAGGAGCAAGAAGCGCGTCCCGAGCAACTGTCAACTGGTCACCATCAACCCGCCGCTGCACTCGTCTAGAGGAAGTAAGGATATCATGGCGCTTAAAGAGCTAGGTTCCTCCATCACGTCCTGCAACCCCGCGGTCACTAGACCGGAGAGGAGAGGTGAGATTCATCCCATCCCATCTCCGCCTCCAACAACTCACCAGGGCCTCATTCACACACGCACATCCGTAATGTGTATCCATGCAATAAATACAACCCAAGCATACATAAAGCACGCGTAAAGGTTCCATTTTCAGCCAAAAATGAAATCTTAATCAATTTATTAATCTTATATATTTAATAGCCAAAATATAAGGAATTTTCAATCCTTCCTTAAGTATGAAAGACTACATTTTCAATCTTTTGTTAATTATGTATATCTCTTTGAAAAAGCGGAATACCTCATTGCTACAAGATCAAAAAGCACCAAGGAAAATGGGGAACATTGTGTATGAGTTGATCATATGTTATCTTTTGTTTAAGTAATGTTTTATTCAACATTCAGGTGTCATCTCTCTTTGTGGTTTTCTACTGGGACGGCACTTTTGCATAAACAAACAACGAAATCTTTACGAATGCTTTATTAAGGTATCCTAAAATATCGGACTTCATGCAGTGACGCGTCTCACGCAACAACAGGTGGAAGCGTGTGGGGTGTACGTACCGGATACCTGTACTGGTACGTACCGGATACCTGTACTGGTACTTTCACCCATCGATTGCGGCACATTCGTGACGGTTCTATTTCTAGAGGAACAAATTCTAGACCAGCGCCCATTTGTCAACTTAACAATTATCAATAGCAACTCCATGTTGGCGTTCCAGGTATTATAATGTCATGTAACCAGACCAATGGACTGCATGTTGGTCTTTACTTTGATTCCACTTGTACATCTGCATGGATATGCATTAGGAACCGTTGTGTGAATGGGGACCACATCATTCCAAAATCATCCCATTTCTTATCGCCGGAACTAATGGCAACCTCATTGAAAAATGTATTTTGTTTTAAATGCTGATGTAGAATGCTCACCAAAAAAACTCACACCTATGACGATTCTGACAGTGTGCATTGCAACATGAATTTCAATTGAGTTGGGTTACATCTCAAACATTTCAGAAATGATGCCAGCAATGTACAATACCAAAATCAGAAACAACCTCTAAGGATGCAGTCAAATGATTTTATAATTTTTCATGTAACAATTTGTATAAAGAACAAGAAAATAGTCTGGGGTTCCACTGATTTTGTTTGGTCAAAACATACTGAACGCGGGGTGGATGGCAGGAAGGATAGAGGAAATGGCTATACTAGTCCAGAGTTTTTATGCTAAGTTATATTTGTATAGGTAATCCTACTGTATGATTAAGCATGCATGTGTGATAGGTCTAGACCCTCTCTCAATCAATAAATTAGCATCTAGATTCGACTACTATATATAGCCCTACCCAGATATTACCTGGCCTGGAACAAAATAGGAAATAGAATAAAATTATATAGGTCCCTATTTTACCGCTCCCATGAAAGTTCGCATGAAATAATGCCAACATCCGCGTGCGTTGTCGCAATAAATTCTCTAACAATTTGACCCATACATAATTTCTGGAAAATGAAAACCCGTGTTTAGGCTGGTATCTACTGTGTCACACCCTTAAGGCAATTTACAGGTAATCGGAGAAACTTATGGTCCCTGTGGAAAATCAACATGTTCTGTGAAATGACCTGGAAAAACGCTTTTCTTACCTGTGACCAAATTACCCCAGATGGGAATCGAACCCGTGTCACACTGATGAGAGAGATGCACGGTATACTTTACTACTTGTTATCTTCACCAACATTAAAAAATGGTTTGCTGCATCTTTATTTTCATGCTAGGTTGTAACTTGTAGCAACACGCGGTTTATTGCTGAGGTAGGTCCATGCGGGGTCATTTTTGCTCGGGAGGTAATTTCTGGATATTGGGTGATTTGAAGTAATAGGTCATTGGCAGCAGTCTCAACCTCGTTTCAGCCTTGTACTGCCCTTCGTAAGAAAATGAGAATTTTTGACTCCGTCAACAATTTTTGCACTGAATTTTAACGTTACTAGAAATTATTGGAAAATCTGATCATAGTGGAGAGAGGTCATGTTAAATTCTGGTACTGCAGATTTTAGGTTCAGATATTGTGCTGAGGGTAAAGTTTAGGGTTTTATCTGATCAGAAATTGCTATGGATGTATTTTAATTGAAAAACATCACAGGTCACTTACTAACCTGTTTTGCAATGATGTAACGAAAACGCAGGCATTCAATACGCGTGCTATCGTTTCTAGGAATTCAAGACAGGAAAACATATGTACCTGAAATTTGTTTATCACTACTCTTCCAGGAATCCACATTAAAAGATTACAAGGGAAATGCAATTTATGCAATGGAATTAACAGAAAACTAACATAGGCTTAACCCAAAATCGGAGTAATCGTCAAAAACTAAATCAATTATACCATTAATTATATAACAAAATATCTATTCAATTTAACAGAAAAATTGATAACGCAACTCAAAATCATAGTGGGAGAGGTTGGGGATAGATTTCTGTTTAGAATACAGTATAGTTTCAACCAGATTTAATCACTTGTAACGATATCCATAATGCACTGAATAGAGAGCTGGAAAGTAGCCAGGGTTTCTTTTACTAATGTTACCGCCTCCAGACGTTATTTGTACAATCGTTTTAAAGATTAACTCGTATGCTGGATGTGACCTGCATCCCTTTGCTCATAAGCTAAGTCACCCATAAAAACCATGCTCACAATCATTTATTTCTTTCCAGAACATTAACCTCATCGCTCACTCGCACTTCATTAAAAAGCACAATCAACATTTAAAGAAAAACAAAACAAATTTATATGGAACGCAGTCGCTACTGATCCAGGGAGCAAATACTGTGTTTTATATAGTTCCGTATCTTTTTTGATAATTAAGATATATTTTAGAATAATCCAGTCATATCAATATTTTTCTAATGCTATCCAGGATAATATATAGAGTTTTGCTTGACGAGACCTTGGATTTCTAAGACAAATACATCCTTTGACACGTACCCTTTTATGAACTTTATCCAGAAGTTTGATAGCTCTTGGAGATTTATCATTATGCCGATCATTGACAGCTCACTTGTCACGAGCAATGAAATCTGCAAAAGCATCTTCGGAAGGTTCCAGATGATTGAACGTGTACTTGATTGAACGCATACTCGCTCTGTGAAGCATCCTATCCCATCGTATTAAGCAGGCAACTGCAGTTCCCTGGTAACTGAAGTTAACAATTTATCACGGCCGCTCCATTGCCTTAATCCGTGTTTGCACAAATCTTCTTAATGCTTTAAGCCCTTCGCATACAAACATGACTTTCATAGAAAGTACCTAATACTTGGATTACGCAAAACAAACTCTTGTTGTTTAGTATTCCATCCGGATAACGTAAATCTTTTCTGGAGAGTATTTAAGACCGGTGGCAATTGTCCAAACAGATACCCAGCTGATATATGGTCTGGAAATGGATACATAGATAAACAGGCGTAATCAAAAATAGATCTGCTGTCACGGTACTGCAAACAAAATCAATCTTTCTTATAAGAATGAGAGGTTGAGATTGCTCCGTAGCTTCTGATCTATGCTTTGATTTCTTCTCGCATAGCGGCATTAAAGTGAGGAATGTGAACTATTGACCCCAGACGGGGAGGAATAGAGCTAGTTACTGTAAGTCACCTGCTGGTTCGCCCCGTGCTTCCAGTCCATTATACGCGCACGATCGATATCGCTATTGGCGCCATTCTATACATATATTCTTCGGATAATGTCTAGTCTAACTTTTTAAACAAATCTGTCGCTCACCAGACTGAGTGCAATGCCTGGACAATGACAGTCGCAGAGTCGCATTTGTGCATTTTAGTTGGTGTCTAAACTAGCCTTATTTTCATGTATATACTATATGGTAGTGCACAAATATCAGCCTGCTGTGCACTGTTGGTAGTTATCTGCTGATGAGTTTAAGTTAACTTTGGGGCATCGGTGACGTCACAGTTAGATGATAACCGTAAACGTCTGTCTGATGAAGAGTCACTCGAAGGGTCAACGGTCAATGGATGGATGGATGGGGGGGGGTCAATGTTATGAAAAAAGAAACGGTACTATGGTTGTCGAAAAACATTTCCTTCCGTGTCCCCTTATAACAATGATTAATATATACCTGATTTTTATTGTTAATTGAGTTACTTGAGGCAGGTTCATGCCCGAGGGCTAATTGTAAACTGTTAAGGACAAAGAGTAATAAATGTATTGAAGAATTGAATAAAACGTGGTGCTAACATAAAGTTCTACTTGTACTAATTTAAAAAAACTAGTTTTTTATATCCACTTAAAACTAATAACGTATGTATCTGTGACAGAGAGAGAATATGTGATACATAAAGAGGTATGAGAAACATGGTAACTACCATTCTATTTTTAGTTTACCTATTTTAGCAATGGGGGTTGACCTACAGAACGATTTGTTTGACAATATATGCCTTGCTAGTTTCATGCGATATAATTTGTGAATACATGAATATATATGAATAGGAAAGTGGGTGGGTTAAAAGTATCCACAAACTGCAGGTTTGCCCATCAGGAAACATACCCCCCTCAATGCTATAATTGCCCACAGACCGCCCTACATGCTTATAATTATAATTAAGGAAGTTTACAAAGATAACATGATGAATAGAATAGTGCAACAGTCTCTAGAAAAACTATACTCTGTTATCGCCCCACATTTACATGCAGTAATAGACCAATTTGTTGCTTGCAAGAGGAAGCCGGAAATAATGACATCAATGTTTTTGCGCAGATTATATTGCATGCGCAGGAATAGAGGTATTTCCCTCAGGATTCACCATACTTCTGTATTAATGTATTCATGGCCTATTCAGCCCGTGGAAATGACATGTTTACGATAAAATAGCCTAGTGACTAGTCTTTTTATTAACGTTTTAACCTTTGGGGTGTATGCTAACATAAATTGTAGAACAATGAAATGCGTCTCACATTTCACCGTGAACCTGCGTAAACTTAGCAGAACTTATCTACTATCCAATCTG